GCCCTTTTCAGATTTTATAGGTTGGGGCAGAAAGGGCCAAGTCCCTCCTGGAATGAAAAGCTGACAGGAAAGTTTTGGAAAAAGTCACCTTGTGTTCCTCACAGAGATGAGTCATTGGTGGGAGATGGCAATAAACAAGTGTCAGCTCCAGTGGTGCCACTAATTAGCAGTAACATTTGTTTAAAAGGGGGAAGATACACAAACCCCCAAATTCCTTGAGGACTCCAAGGAACTCAGAGAGAGAAAAAACAGCTTCAGAGGGCAGAAACCATGAGATATTCACCCTACACAAATAAAGGAAGAAATACAATGCTACAGGAGTGATTCAGCGTTAATATTTTTAATTTCCCTTAAGTGAAAGATCCCCCAAAATTAAAAAAACCCAAATCTTTATAAATCCTAAAAAAAAGAAGCAGCCTTTTGGCTTTGCCTTTCCCTTCTGCTTGTTTTAATAATGATATAAATGGACTGTTTCATTCTGGGAGGAATATTTCTTGAATTATTCTTCCCTACCATAACTGGTGGGGTAGCCCAGAAGTGCTGCTCAGTGTTATGAGAACTCTCCTCTCGAGAGAACGTCAACTGCAAAACAAGTTCAAACAACAACAACTGTGAAAGATAGAAGCAATCAGGCAAATATCAGAGAAAAATGCTTCAGTGCTCCTGGTTAAAAAAAAATGTGAAGAAATCTATTAATTTCCTTTTCTGGATTTGTTATTGGAAATCCATAACCTGTGCTTGTAGTTAAATTTAAAACTTATTTCATCCATTATTTGCTCCGTCCACTCCAGTTGCTACCGAGATGCCTTTGAGTAAAAGAATCATTTAAAATTACCACAAGTTCTCTGAAAACACAGCTCACTAAATGTCCTGAGCTGGAGGGGACCCACAAGGATCAAGTCCAGCTCTTGCACAGGATAACCCAAGAATCCCACCATGTACCTGGGATATTGAGCTTCCTTTGACTTCAACTCCACAGGTAACGGAGGCATCAACCAAGAAAGTGTCTGGGAAAAGAGGATCTGGAGTGGCACAGTAGTGCCCTGGGCCTTATCCCACTGCCCAGGGATGCTGCATGGGCTGCAGGGATGCACAGGAGCACCAGGAGTACCACCCAGGTGCTGTTCTGAACATGTGCTGGCACACCTGGCAAAGATGGCATCGGTGCCCATCAGCACCTCCCCTCTGGAGACAGGCTGGGAGAGCTGGGGCTGCTCAGCCTGGAGAGGAGAAGGTTCTGTGGAGGCCCCACAGCACCTTCCAGGGTCTGAGGGAACTACAGGGAATCAGGAGAGGGACTATTCATCAGGAACTGTGTCCAAGGCCAGGCTTGGAGCAACCTGGTCTAGTTGGAAGGTGTCCCTGCCCGTGGCAGAGGTTGGGACTGGATGGTCTTTAAGGACCCTTCCAACCCAAACCATTCCATGATTGATACACAGGGCAGCTTTCTCAGCAACCCTAATCACTAGATAAGAGAAATGAGTTCTCTCCCATGGAAGCCCAAGAGTAAGGAAACCAGTGGCTTGGGAAGCCTTATGTAAAGAGCCCTCAGATCAGACTGTTTAAATTCCTCATCTCAGCTTTGGTTACTCAGGTCTTAAGGTATCCGTGTGGCTTAATTTAATTTATGCCATTTAAACAGACCACTTAATTATATCAGCACTTGGCAGGGCTGCTCTAGTTAAAGGTCTGTTTGCAATGTCACATCTATAAATTAATTTTTGGAAGGTTTATAGCAGGACTCAATTATAATTCCCGCGGGGTTTAAATTTAGAACGTGTTTTGTTCTCTTTTTTTTTCCTTAAGACACTCAGTTCAGATGCCCACTTTCTTCCTGCATTTATCAGAAGACAGGGAGTCATTTTAACAGGAAATACAATCTCAACTGATTTTTCAATTAGAAGACAGAATACATTATGTTTAGCCAGTGCCACCAGTGGAAACTAAGATGCACAGGCACGGAGAGGGCGATGGCAACGTCTCATCAGCAATCCTGACTCAGTAAATACATTCATTTATGGAGGTACAATGAAGCCAGCAGAACATTGAGACCTGCAGAAGTTAATGAGCATATTACCTGTGCTTACAAACCCGCCCTGAGCTACCATTTAGTCCTCCCAGCCTTTCTCTGCTGGAAACCTCCTGCCCACCCCAGGCTGGAAGCCCTCCATGAATCTCTGACACGTGGATTAACACAGGGGAAGTTAAATTTGGTTCTCTGCTCCCTCACAGCCGTGTTACAGCTGCACCATTTCATGGCCTTGGAACGGTTTGGGTTGGAAGGGACCTTCAAGACCATCACTAGCCAAGAATTCCTTCCCATTATCCCATCTCACCCTGCCCTCTGGCAGTATGAGGCTATTCCCCCTTGTCCTGTCCCTCCATCCCTTGTCCCCAGTCCCTCTCCAGCTCTCCTGGAGCCCCTTTAGGCCCTGGGAGGGGCTCTCAGGTCTCCCTGGAGCCTTCTCTTCTCCAGGTGAACCCCCCAGCTCTCCCAGCCTGGCTCCAGAGCAGAGGGGGCTCCAGCCCCAGGATCAACTTTAGTGGCCTCCTTTAGACTTTTTCCAGAGGGGTCAGTGTCTTTCTTGTGCTGGGACCAATAACCCCACTTGCTGTGCCTCTGCAAGGCTGTGGATCTCACATTTGCCTAGTGAAAGTGGGAAAGACTTTCTCCTTTCCCCCAGAAAGGAGGAGGGCAGATGCTGGAAACATCCCTGCAAGAAAACAACTCTCTGCCGTGGGCGTTTCAGCACTGATCATCCTCCACGTGGAGAATGCTGGGAAACCCAGATGTGTCATTAAAGTCTCTTTGTTATTGCTGCAGCTCTTTGGAGATGAGCCTGTGCTGGCAATCAGGAAACCTGAGCAGTTTGGATAGTCTTGGAGCTCGTTCTGGCTACCCTGGAGAACTTCACAGCCAAACAGACTCCCTCCAAAAAACCCTTGGGGATGTTGAAACACATACAGAATATATGTCCTTGCCTGCTCAGTCTTGACAATATCATTTAATTTTGGTTTAATCTTAGTAAATTCTGGAAAGCTGTTTGCTTTGGGCAGAGTTGTAAACCTTTGTGTGTTTACACAGCAGGAATGGAACATTAACATCCAGGCAGGAACTTCTCCAGAGATTTTTCAAGCAGAGCACATCCAAGGCCATTCTTTGTTTATTGAGTGTTTATTGGAGCCCTTTGTGTGCCTCCTTTTGTTGCAGTTTTTTTGTCTGCAGCCATTAATTCCCCAAATGTCCTGCTCTCCTGATGTCCCTCAGTCCCAGGTTTGTGTTTCCTCACTTGGATTCATGTTGTGCCCTGTTTTCCTTTGTAGGTTGCCCCAGGTGCCCTGCCCGTAGGTATTGGGTGTTGTGTTTGAAAAACTCCATTTCTTGCTTCAATTGTGTGATTTCTTTATTTATTCCTCTTGTCCTCCTTCATTTTTCTTTGCCCTGATGATGTTTGAGGCTGGAGCTGTCTCTTGGTTTGGGAAACCTGCAAAGAGCCCTTTAAACACACTGGACCAAATTCAGGGCATAAAGTCATGTGAAAGTTCATTAAATGCTTAATGTTCAATAAATAATTATATGTCTTCACGGACATCTTAAGTATTACAAAAAGTCCTTTTTTAATTTAAAAAGTACCTCCTAAACCATGTCAGGTTTAAAAGTACCTACTAAACCCTCTCAGGTTGGAACTGTGTGCTTGAAACGGCCCTTGCAGGTTGCATGTGCACTCTTTTGTGTGGATTCTGATCCTTTCCTACATAAAACTACGTGCTAAAGAATTCCTCAGAGACCAGCCTTAATGCATGACCCAGTAGTGTACCCAGAAAACACAGTGTTTTAAGTCCAGGCCCTAAAATAAAATAGTTTAAAAATTAAAGTATTGGAAATAGTGTTGGCAGCATTGCTGGATTGTTTCCCACAGTCATATTCTCTCACATGAAATGTTCAGTTAAGTGATCTACTTTCTTGCAGCACAAAATGTGATAATAATGTAAAATATCCATGCTAATGATGTAAAGGCATAACAGTGCTTTTCCAGATTAAGGAAAGATTAAGGAAATAAATTGCTCTGTAGGTCTGACATGCATGGGAGGCACATGAACTAGGCATTGATTGCTGTAAAGGCAATTTGACTTCCACATTTGGATAATGTTTTGCTAATGCAGGAATAGCAAAGGAATAGGATGGATTACTTTGGGAGGGTGTGGGATCTCCATCATTGCTTTTCCTGGGGAGCAAATTAGGAAAAAAATACTGTTTATTAGTGTTCAAAATGACATGACAAGCCAGAAGTGTAACAACCAACAGGGGTTTTTGGAAAATAAATTTTTGCTTGGCTTTATAGTGTCTGCAAAGGGAGCAGTTGTTGGCAACTACCTCCTGTAATTTTGCATGGAATAAAGACATTGCTGTTTGCATTGCTGACTGGAAAAGGAATTGTGATTTTCCTGGGAGCTGGCATTGCAGCAAAGATCCAGGGAATGAGAAACCACTTGTTTGGAACACTGGGATGGTTTCTCCTTTAAACTGAGCAATCTTTGCATGGGCTTTGTTCTAGTTCACTAAGAAAAGTTCCTCTTTCTCCTTCTAATTGTACTAATTTTGTCCTGGGAGTTGTTCATGATGCCACTCAGTGCCTGTTGGTGAGCTCTCCAGTGCTCTGGGGGGGTCTAATCCAATAGGACTGACACTAATGACAGGTAGGAATTAACCTTCTGGAAGCATCGTGGCCTCAGGGTGAGAAACTATTGAGAGAGGAAGAGCCTAATGCTCCTTTTTTTGGTTCATTTGCTGAATTCAGCTGTTTGTGCCTGTGTTGTGTGTCCTACCCTGTACAGGGAGGCTTCTGTGCAATGATGTTGGAAAGCAGCTGGTAAAATCCTGAATTTTCTGCTGAGTTTTATTCATCCCTCTGATCCCTCATCTCCACATTTTTTGGGGCAATTTAAACCAGTTTTTATGGGACTTGTTTCCCAGCCTTTTGTGTTTTCTCGAGTTGAATTTGCACTCCACCAGCTTGGCTTCACCTGACAGAAATGGACTCTCACTCATGACTGAGAGTAGCACAAGAAGTCAGGTTAAATTAACCACATTATGGACAAGGACACGGGAATTTGTTGGAATGCTGGAGGCAATAAAAGCTAATGTAGTTTGTTTGCAAATTTAACTAATGTAGAGTGACCCTTGCAGTCCAATCAGTTAAATAACTCAATAACATCTTGAAAGAGATGGAAGTCAGGAGTGACTGAAGTACTCATGAAGACATGAGTAAATTTACAATGCCTTGACTTGCCTTTATTTACCTTAAAATGTTACTTGCTAATGGAAACGGTGCCACAGTTCATTTATTATGTTTTTTTCCCTTGATCAACCGAGAAGTTCATAATTCTGCATCAATATATTTTGATTCTTTTTGAGATGCAGAGAGTCTCTGAGCTGCATCTATTTAATGATGCATTTCAACACATCATTATATTTTTCATTGCACCAACCCAACTGTTTTATTGCTCTGTTAATCAAGATCAGTTTTGTTTTGGTTTTAATATGCTCGAATCTGGTTTCTTATATTGTTATATTTGGCTTAGAAATTACTGTTTCAAAGGGAAAAAAAAGCAATCATTTAAAACTAACAGATGCAGGTATTTGTTTACCATTGGATTTTCTCACTCTAGAGGTTAAAGTAGGGTTTTAATCCATTTTTCATGGAGAAGATTAGATTTTTAGACCAGCAGTGGGAGTTTTTACCTTTTTTTTTACAGTTTTGACGATTCTTAATCACAGCATTTGTACTTTCTGCCTATTTAGGTTTCAACTAAATCAAGCACTTGCATCAGATAATCGGAGAGTTAATGGTGCAGGTGAATTTCTAATAACACACCCTTTTTTTCCTTGATGTTGTTTGAAGACCAAGGATCCCCAGCTCCATCTCTTCCTGAACGATTACAGCACGTTCTTCACTGTGACTCAGAGTGGCATCACCCGCTACCTCACCCTGCTGCAGCCCCTGGACAGAGAAACCCAGCAGCTCTACACCTTCTCGGTGAGTGACCACCCCTGGAAGGCCCTGCAGGGTCAGCCAGAGCTTGTTGGGAGAAAGGGTTTGGTTCTGACATCTTTGGAGATCAGGAAAACGGCCCGGGAGGAGGAAACGGCGAAACCAGGGGAGCTCCTGGGGGTTGTGCCTTCCTCCAGGCTGCTTCTCCAACTTGAGAGCAGCGTTTAGATCCCCCTGAGCATCATGTCCATGGTCCCAGGTGTGTCCCCTGCTCCTCACCCCCCTGCCATGGCAGCATCTGAGCCCACTTTTTCATACCTGGCCTTTGAGGCCATCGGTGCCTTTTCTTGTCTCGTCCCCTGAGCCAGGAACGTGACACCTGCCTTGGTCTTTTTGCTTGTTTTCAGGAGCAAATAAAAAACTAGGCTGCAATAAACCCCAGCCAGCAGTATTTTAAAAAAAATAAAGAGGAAAAAATGGACTTGATAGTCCCTCAGGCTGTGGGTAAACAATGGCCCTGCAGCAATTTGGAAATGGGCTGTTCCTCCGCTGGGGTTCCCAGTCCTTGCCTCCCTATTTTCTGTCCTTTTAGCAGTTGAAAGGAGAGCTCAGATTTCCCCTCTGGAGTAAAAAGGCCTTCAGCTCTTTCAGTGCCACCTTGAAATGCTCTCTGGGAGGTTTAACAGAGGTAGAGGAGCTCCTGTGTGTGGTGATGCCCAGGTGAGACCTGACAGGTGGCTCATCCCTCCCAGCCACGGACTGTGGCCCATATCCTGGCCCCAACCCTGGGAAATTCCAGGTGATTCCCTCTCATTTCTCCTGCCCACCTGACACAGAGCATTTCAAAGGTGTGGGTTTGCTTTGCTTTTCCCCTGAGTCTTGCACTCTGCAGGCTCAAGCTCAGCCGAAGTGAGATGTGAAATGCTGATTTTTGGTTGTCACGCTGTATTTCCTCACAGCTGGAATTGTATTAAGAACACACCATTAAAATATGTTCCTGTTCTGCTTATTTTTTTCCTGCTGAAGATGACAGCTTCTGATGGAGTCCAGGAGAGTGTCCCAGTGACTGTCAATATCCTGGTGATCGATGCAAATGATAATTCCCCCACCTTCTCCAACATCTCTTACAATGTCAAGATTTATACGGATATGAGGCCTGGGGAAGGTGTTATAAAGGTAATTTCAGGTCTTTTTATTGCCTTTGTTGGCTCACTTTCTGTTAGCAGTAGATTAGAAATGCACTGAAACCAACTAGAACTTAATTTTGTGTATCTCCATCCACTTCATTAGTTAAATAACTATTAAAATTGCTCCTACTAAATGGTAGACCTGTCTTAGATGTACAGCTGCAGCTCAGCTGTTTCACCTGAAGTTCTGCAAAACCTTTTCAGCTGGAAAATTTCAGAAGAAAAAATAATATTCCCCTTGATTAGCAGGATATTGAAATAAAATGGTTTTGGGGAACAGGTAAACAGTTGAGTAGAACATAACCAGGAATGTTTTTACCATGTCATAAAAGCTGTTGGTTTTTACAAGTCATTTGTTTGTAGAACAAATGAACAGTGAAAAAATGTGCTGAACACGGGCCCAGAGTGAAGCAGCTTTAATTAAAGTTTGCCAGCACTGATTTATGTCTCAGTGCAGGACTGGAGGTGAATCCTGGTGGCACTGAAGTTAATGGAAAAAGGCTTTTTTTGGGGTGGTAATTCTTCTGAGATCTCAGCCATGCCCTGAGTGCTGCCAGTGGAGATGGGTAAGGACAAGATGCCATTGGTGGAGGCGGTGGGAATATCGGGAAAATCAAATTAATCAACCGACTTGAGTGATAAAATGCCATTTTCTGAATTACAGTCAGGAATTAATCAGGCAAGCAGTGATTTACCAGCATTAGGAGAGGGCTCAGTGTCTGTTCTGGCACATGCCCCCCTTGAGCTGTAGCTGTGCATTTGCACCCTTGCATCTTCATTCATGTTATTCTTGCCTTTTCACCAATCTTCTTAAGCTACAAGTGCTAAAAAACCATCAGTGAGAGCCACAGGGGCATTTTCAGCAAGATTTGAGGGAAAGATAAAAGCTCTAAGCACAACTGAGTTCCTTCAAGCCATGCACAAGTGGAAACAAAAGATATCAAATACTGGTATCCTGTCCTGAAGGAGCCAGGGAATGTAAGGCAGAAAATGTTGCTAAATGAGATTGCTGGATGTGTGAAAAGAATGTTTTCCTGCCCAAAATTGGCCTTGAGGATGCTCTGGGCTGCCTGAGGTCTGTTAATGGTACCTGGGATGAAGCAGAGCAGCATCTTGTGCTTGCCTGAAGCACCTGAAGTGCTGCTGTGCTCAGAGGGAATGTGCTGCTCTTGAGTTCTCAGACACATTCTGGTCTTGGAGCTGCAAGCATATTCAGGACCTGGAGGCATGGAAAGAGGAGGAGTACAAATTTCTTAATGAACTTGATCTGGACAAGGTCCTGTGGGGAAGGAGTAGTGAGGAAGTTGGGCTCTAAATTCACCTTTGTTAAAAAATGTAAATTCTGCATGTGGTCGGTACATGGGTCCTTTCAGGTTCTGTGACTTTATAATGTGGTCAGAGATGGAAGGGAGAAAATTCTGGCTCTTTTATCAACTCATCTTACATTGCCAGATGATCTGAGTTTATAAATTAACTGACTTAGAAAAAAAAGTAAGAGTCAATATTTAAGATTTTGGTGTACTGTGATGATGCCAGGAATAAAAGGAGAGTCCACCTCTGGGTTCTCAGGAGATGATCAGAGGGATGAAGCACCTCTGCCATGAGGAAAGGCTGAGAGAATTGGGATTGTTCA